AGGGGACGAGAAACGCTGCTTAATTGCATCGTGTGCAATGCAACACAACATGCTAAGTAGACAACAGTCCAAAATCATAACCATTTAGAACTCGTAAGGTAAATTGGCGAACATATGAAGGCCTTTAACAATTTTTCATTCGGCCAATATAACTACATTATGAGGTTGAAACTGGCTGACGAGTGACCAGATGGTACTGTGGTCGGGCAGTAGAATTCCAATCTTGTTTACTGCTCCAGGATGAAGTTTTGAGTGGATTGATGACACAAAGACATTTCCTGGACACTTACAGTAGCACAATACAGGTATTATTCGGAAAGTGATCAGTTATGCACGTTAAAAACAATGAAAAGGCATCTCAAGGGAATAGCCGCATGTGCATTTACAGCACTTGTAGTGGAGTAGCAGGCGGTGTTGGTTGGACCAGCCGTTATTGCATAAAGCAGTAAGAGGGCAGATGCTGACATCCTCGCACAATTAGTAGACACATTACCCTGTGGACGAAAAGAAGGCATAGCAGATAAAGAGCACGGAAGCGTGCATACAGTTAAGCGACCGTGGGCCATGCCAGATTATGCTGTGCACACAGGGCCGGCTTCCTCAACCTGATAGCGGTTGCTCCTGCTGTTGCTAGCAGGCGCTGACCCGGAAACTTGGGACACTTTAGTGGAACCTTGTAAATCACCCAGAAGGCTTCGTTAGTGCCCACACGATGTCCGGAATCAAACATTAATGCGAGAATAGCGCTGTTTACATTCCTGGCTTCACCTTTTTTCAGCCATGCCGGGAGGCGTTCCATTATTCTTTTGGATAAACTCCGACTCGTGCGACCAATATAACCGGCGCCACAGGAGCATGTTAACGAGTACATGAAGGTGTTCTGAGCTAGGGATCTATTATTACCTTCTCTATGCAAGACCGGGTTGGTTTGCTGCTGGGAAGGTTCGTGACACGGCTTGGTCAATGCGTCTTCTTAGGAGTTCACCTTTGAGTAATTGCAGTAAGCACAACAGTAAAGGTGTACATGGATCCCGAAATCGCCATTGCTATTAGCTAGGATAGGGTTCGAACGTTTACTCGTGCTGAATAGCCTTATTTTACTGCATACCAATTCCCACATAGCATTAGCTGTGCAAATAAAACAGTTTGAGAGGATGTACACTTAAATGCGCTGTGGCTTTGACACGATACAACGCCTAACATAGCAACGTACTACTACCGATATTTTGACGTTCTCTCACCTGCCCCAAAACCATAATGCCCCTCTTGCAAACGTGAAGGTAGGCACCTACACAAAACTTAATAAAAAATATCAAGGGCTTATTTACCTTTACGATTCCACGGAAACTGTTCAGCAGCCACCATCACTACTTATAACAAGTTTGTACTTCGTATCCGACGAGAACAACTACTGAATTCCACACGACACAAAACTGTAAGCACATGCATCCGTGTATTACCCAGTATGGCCGATCCGCTATCAGTACAAGGCAGTCAAATGGCCTTGCAAGGGATTTAAGTTGAAGTATCTTCTCGGTGCAGAGTATAGGGAACAGCGGAAGTCAAACAGCCAGTCAAGAGCGCGAACAATATTCAGCTCGCTTCGCGAGTCAGAGATAATGGAATGTTGATAATTTTCCCACTTAGAGAACGTATCGACAATAATGTAATGGCAGACTACACAACATGAGGTCAAGAAATCGGTGGTTTGACTGCAACCGGCATTTTTTGCGGGCTGCAAGTTCCCCCAGTTACTATTATTCACATCGAGAAAACAATTGCTACTTAATATACTTAAGTAATGTCGGGAATGCCACTATTCCCATGATGAGTCAACACACACAGAAAGGCGTCGCGAGCGCCTCGCTGCGGCCGGTCTTGTCTGCTCAATTCTGATTGGCTCATTGTCTCGTACTATGTCTCTCTTTCGACCCCTTAAATGCATGCAGCCTTTGGGTGAGAGCGACTTGCTCTAACGTGCTTTGGTGAATACACACTGTCTCGTGCCCGCTTGTCCCCTCTTGCTTCTCTCGTACGGGCCTTGGATACCAGTTGGCTAACTCACCATTCGTGCTAATTAAAAGTACCAGGCGCGGGTCATGACAGGTAATACAATACATTTCAATG